TAATTTGATTACTACTCCAGAATGATATTTTATTCATCTCACCAGTAAAATAGATTGTATTATCCCAAAGAAACAAACTGAGGTGTTTTGTGACCTCTATTATATGTGGAAAGGGATGGCCTCAATTTTCCATGGAAAGTGGTCCAATCTTCTGAGTCCTCCAATGCAATGGAGCAGAGTTGATAACTGTATCACAAATACTAATGGTGAAGGAACAGGGACAACTTTTAAAGCTTGGTAAGATTTTTAGTGACAGCTTTATTAAGATTTAATTCATATACAAGTCACCTATTTAAGATTTAAGATTTAATTCGTATACAAGTCACCTATTTAAAGCGTATAATTCATTGACTTTCAGTATATTCGAGCTATATTCAGAATTGTTCAGCTATCACCACAACTTTAGTTCATTTCTATCAATTCAGAAAGAAACTCTGAATGGATGAAAAAAATGTGGTATATATAAAAGGAAAGGAATTTTAACATGCCACAATATGGATGAAGCTTGAAGATGGTTTGCAAAGATAATAACCCAGTCACAAAAGGACAAATGCTGTATGATTCATTCCTTTTATGTGAGGTACTTAAAGTAGTCAAATTCAGGGAGACAAAGTATGACAGTTGCCAGGGGACAGGGAGGGAAGAATGTGGCATTATTGTTTAATGGGTACTGGGTTTCGGTTTTGGTGGGAAAAAGTTCTGAAGACCCGTGGTGGTGATGGTTACACAATGTGAATTTATTGTATTTAATACAACTGAAATGTACACTTTCCCATCTCTTCAAAAAAATTATTAAGTCCCAGATGTTCAGGAGGCTGAGACAAAAGGATCTTTAACACCACTATACATTCCTGCCTGGGCAACAGTGAGACTATGTCTTTTTTAAAAAAAAACAGAAAGTTAGAATGGTAAATTTTATGTATATTTTACTTTCTTTAGAAACAAAGTAGGGGGTGCCTGCAGCTTAGTGGGTAGGGCACCGGCCACATACACTGAGGGTGGCATGTTAGAACCCAGCCTGGGCCTGCTAAACAACAATGACAACTGCAACCAAAGAAATAGCGGGGCTTTGTGGCAGGCGCCTGTAGTTCGAGCTACTTGGGAGGCTGAGGCAAGAGAATGGCTTAAGCCCAAGAGTTTGAGGTTGCTGTGAGCTGTGATGCCACAGCTCTCTACCCAGGGCGACATAGAATGTTGCTAAAAAAATTAAAATGAAATAAAGTAAAAAGAAAGTAAAAGAACTCCAGTACCCATTAGCAATGGCTTTTTCCCTCCCCAAACCCTAGGCACCCACTAATGTACCTAATTCATGCATGAATTAGGATTCACCTATCCCAGACATTTCCTACAAATGCAGTCATACATGTGCACTTTTATGTCTGGCTTCTTTCACTTTATATGATGTTTTATGTCATTACTTTTTATGGCCAAAAAATATTCCATTGTATGGATACATCACATTTATCCATTGATCAATGATGGACATTTAGGGCCCCGCACAGTGGCTCGGCCCTGTATTCCTAGCACTCGGGAGGCTGAGGCGGGTGGATTGCTTGAGCTCAGGACTTCAGACCGACCTGAGGAAGACCCGGTCTCTAAAAAGAGCCTGGCATTGTGAAGGCGCCTGGAGTCCCAGCTACTGGGGAGGCTGAGGCCGGAGAATCTCTTGAATCCAAGAGTTTGAGGTTGCTGCGAGCTGTGATGCTATGGCACCTCTACCCAGGGTGACAAAGTGAGACTGTCTGAGGAAAAAATAAAAGGACGTTTAGGTTGTATCTACTTTGGGGCTACTGTGAATAATATCAGGAACATTCGTGCCTAAGTTTCTACGCGACCATTCCAATTCTTTCGCGTATTCACATATGCACACGTAGGGGCGGAATCGCTGGGTCACAGTGACTCTGGGTTTAGTTCTTTGAGGGCGTACTGGCATGTTTTCCAAAGTTCCAAGCCACTCTGCATTACCACCAGCAGTTTTAAATTTTTTAGGCAGACATCGACACCCTCTGCCTGCAGTAACGAGGAAAATCAACGGTAGCCCTGTCTCTTCTCGGCCTTGGTGGGAGGGAGTGGACGGGAAGAAATTAAAGCAAGAGGGACCCCGGGCTGGTTTCCCTGGAGACAGAGGGCGCCGGCAGTCCCGGCAGTCCCCGCGCGCCGCCAACGGCCCGGAGAGCGCGCACGCGCGCCAGGGCCCCGCCGCACCGCCGCACCGGCGCCCCTGGGGAAGCGCCGCGGGCTCGTTGGTGGGCGTCACCGTGGGTGCAGGCCACCCCCGGGCGGAGGGCGGTGGTACCGGAGGTTGCTGCGGTGGGTGGGAGGGGTCCTGGGTGCCTCTGGGTGAGGCTGGCTGCTCGTTCACCCGCTTTGGTTGTGAGGTGTTGTCCTGCCTCCTTCCCCTCGTCAGTCCATCCCGGTTGCTGAGGCGGCGAGGAGGGGATACGATCTCGCGCCGGTCGCAAGCGAAGCAGAACTTGGGTTTGTTTTGTTTTGAGTCCCGAGTCCCACTCTGTCGCCTAGGTTCCAGCCCAGTGGCGCCACCTGAGCACACAGCGACGTCAAGCTCCTGGGCTAACGCGATCCTCCTACCTCAGCCTCCCGGTAGCTGGGACTGCAGGCGCCCGGCTGCTTTAGAGACGGGTCTGGCTCTCGATCGGGCGGGTCTCAGGCCGTTCACCCGCCTCGGCCTCCCAGGGTGCCAGGGTTACAGGCGGGAGGCCCGCGCCCGGCCAGAACTTGCCTTCTTTAGACTAAGGGGAGGGTCAAAGCATTAGAACTGTTCGCCTTTTTAATGCTTTTCCACAGCCTCCTTTTTCCTCCACTGAATCCTCTTCCTTGAAAGTCTTCGACGCCCCAGCACCGCCACTTTAACGCTGGCGCCCAGACTTTCGCCCGCCGTCTTTCCACGCTGCTGAGCTCCAGGCCCTGGTTTACCTCCCGCTGGCCCCGCATAGAGCTGGGCATCGCAGGAGTCAAAGTCGGGTTATCGCGAATGAACTTTCCTTTATCTCCCTGCACTTCTCTTTGGGAGCCACACTACCTACTAAAGCAACATCAGCCAGTCCCGCTAACCCACTTTCCCTCGGCTAATTATTCTTCCCCGTATTATACAGTTCGGTTACCAAACAGGTCCCGTGTAAAGTCTAAAATTCTAGAATCTCACTCCTCCATGCCTCTTAATTGCTAAAGCTCTAGAACTGGCCATACGATTTTTAAGAATGTTGCAACACTTAAAAGCTGATTATTGACTCTTCCGTTATTCCAACCTAATTTACGCAGCGGCGGCAGGCATTGATTCCCAAAATAAAAATCTGACCGTTATTTAGTCCCTGTTTTAAAACTTTTAGTGAGTTCCTAAATAATCATCATGGACTACAGAAGTTTTCATAATCTGCATTATCTGACCTCCTCACCCACCCTCCTTATCATTTGTCTCCTTTTCATTCAACTCTGAAAACCTAATGGTCCCCAGAAGCAGAGACTTGATGTCCTAAACACAACACGCACTTTAAGATCATTATACTTGATGGCCACAGAGAAGTAAACTCTGAAGTTTCACCTCTAAGTAATTGCGGAAAGGACAGTCTCAGTTACTTTTTGGAAAGTAGCCTGAACTCCAAATAGTAGAAATGTGGATCCAGTGGTGTAGAACTGATAATGGAGGTAGGGGGTGACCTCTATCTCTGGAACACTTCCTCCTCTTTCTCTTCATCTCTCCTCCGATAAGTGAAATATTCATCTATCAAATGACCCTTTTAAAGTAGAATTCATAGCTTCTCTATAACCCTACAGTATTCAATTAAAATGTCCTAAAACAATAGAAAATCTTATGATCCACATGCAAGATGATCCCAATATCAAATATTTCTAAAATATTTCATATATGTTGGCCCTTTTGTGCTTCCTAGTATATTCATATTTCGATTATAGCACTTAAGTTGTCACGTAACTGTTTACATGTGTCTTCCCTCACTGTACTCTTTGTGAAGGATAGAGGCTACATTTTACTCATCTTAGTATCCTTCGTGCATAGGACAGTCTGGTACCCAGTAAATAGTAGATGCCAAATAAATATTTGGAAACTAGTGAACCAATGTGTTAGTCATTATTTCTGACTTCCCTAAGTTGGCAGCTTCTTGAAAGGCAGTATCTAATCTTAATCATTTTATTCCTAGCACCTACTACAATTACTAGCATATATTGTTTCCAATTTTTGCTTCTTGTCTTTAAATGAATTTTATATATTCCATTCTGTACTCATTACCATGGTTTAATGTTTTATGTTGGTCACTGATACAAGATATAAAACTGAAAGGGCCTTAATTATCTAATACAACCTTTTCCTTTCCTATGCAGTGGTTCTCAACCTTCCTAATGCTGCGACCTTTTAATATAGTTCCTCATGTTGTGGTGACCCCCAACCATAAAATTATTTTCATTGCTAGTTCATAACTGTAATTTTGCTGCTGTTATGAATGGTAATGTAATATCTGATATGCAGGATGTATTTTCATTGTTACAAAGGTTGCAACCTACTGGTTGAGAAGGCTGCTAGACTAAAGAGAGGTCAGGTGATTTCCCCACAACAACCAGGAAATGCTGGGTCTAGAATCAAGTTCTCAAACTTCCCAGGTTTCCTCATTCTAATACGTTTTGCTACTTGGATTAAATTTTCAAGACAACTATACCACTTTCATTTTAAAACACTAAAGAGCCTCATTATCTGGTAATGTTTATTTCAACAAGCATTTTTTTTGGAGTTAACCTACTCTGTTAAACAACATTTGAGGCTATTATTTTTAAGTTTGCCATTTGTGGAAGATCTTATAACCTAGTGTTGATAAAAATGTTATTTGGCAAAAGAAAACAAAGTTTTGTTTCTCTTTGGGTAGGAATTTTTTAAAGTTAGAAATTTCACTTAGTTTTATTTCACACTTAACTTTAATAGTTTATAAAGTTTTACTAGAGGACTTCAAAAGTAAAATTTGTCTTATTTTATTTCTAGGTTTTCTGATCCTTTTTCTGTAGTTTCACCATCTATAGTCTTTACCAACAACTGTGGTTTATCAGTTGTTAATACAGAAGAATCATTAACTAGGAAAAAATGTCAAATCTAAAAATGAAAGAGGCAGCCCTTATTTATCTTGACAGAAGTGGAGGCCTCCAAAAGTTTATAGATGATTGCAAGTACTACAATGGTATGTTTGGGAAAGGTGACTTTATTTTATTTCATTTTATTTATTTATTTATTTTTGAGACAGAGTCTCATTATGTTGCCCTCAGTAAGTATTGTGGCGTCATAGCTCACAGCAGCCTCAAACTCTTGGACTTAAACAATTCTTTTGCCTCAGCCTCCCAAGTAGCTGGGACTACAGACACCCACCACAACGCCCAGCTATTTTTTGGTTGTAGTTGTCATTGTTGTTTAGCAGACTGGGGCTGGGTTCGAACCTGCCAGCCTTGGTATATGTGGCTGGCACCCTAGCCACTGAGCTACAGGCACTGAGCCATGACTTTATTTTAGAAACTATCAACTAAATTCCTACATATAATTATCTTGACTATTACTTTTGTCTGTTTTCACAGATTCTAAGCAAAGTTATGCTGTCTATCGATTTAATATTTTAATAAATCCTTCTGATGTTGTTGAATTAGATGCCAAACTTGGAAATTACATTTTACATCAGCCTTTACAAGCTGCTCAAGTTTTCCAATCAGTAAGTTAAAGAAAGAAATAATTTTATATCACATGGAATTTTTGGTAACTTTTTTGTTTTTTTGTTTGAAATCATAGGTCTGTTTTATTGCTGTTAAGACACTCTCATTAATTGGACAATTACAGACAGAAACTCAAGTAAGTTTTAGTGAAATTTAGCAAAGAAAACTCAGGTAAAAACTTTCATGATGACTTCTAAATAAATATTTTTATATTCATTTATTTTAACTGAGGAAAGAGGATTGTTTGAGCCCAAGAGTTGGAGGTTACTGTGAGCTATGATGCCATGGCACTCTATCCAGGGCAACAACTTAAGACTCTGTTTTTAAAAAAAAGAATCTATTCATTTATTTTTTGTTTATTAAAAAGTATACTATATATTTTCAAAGTTCAATGGACTATCTTACACATGCATTTTTATTCCTTATATTATTACTTATAACATTAAGTACTTTTATAATAAAACATTTCAAACATACCCAAAAGTAAAGAGAATAATATAATGAATCTGTCAATTTTGCCATACCTGTATCATCAGTTCTTTTCTGAAATATTTTAAAGCAAATCCTAGATGTTCTGTTATTTTATCCCTACACCTTAGTATCAACCTCTGAAAACTATGAACATTTTTTCTATATGACTACAATGTCATCATCACTCCCTTACAAAAGTAACAGTAATTCCTTGGTATCATCTAATATCCATTTCTTATTAAAATTTGCCCTATTTTCTCAAGAATGTCTTACAATTATTTGGTTCAAATCAGGACCAAAACGAGATTCACTCATTATAATTGATTATTACATCTCAATAAGTCTCTTTCAATCCAGAACTATTCCCCCCACCCTTTTTATACCAATGACATTTTGAAGAAACTGGTTAATTGTTCCATGTTATATGACCTGAAGTTGTCTAATTGCTTCCTTGTGGTGCTATTTATCTTATTCCCCTGTACCTCACATTTCTAAAATAGAAGTTGGTTCTAAAGGATTTTTTGATTCTGAGTCAGCTAATTTTTTTTTTTTTTTTCAGTTTTTGACCGGGGCTGGGTTTGAACCTGCCACATCCGGCATATGGGGCCGGCACCCTACTCGTTTGAGCCACAGGCACCGCCCCAGAGTCAACTCATTTTGACAAGAATATACCATAGTTGATGTAATATATTCTATATTGCACTATATCAGGAGGATATAATAGCTGTTATCCCACTTTTAAGTATCACAGTTGATCAGTGGGTTCATATGGTATCATTCTGATCTCTCCATTATATGGTTTCCCATCAACTTTTACTTAATGGTTTTAGCAGCCATTGATGTTCATTGCCTAGAATCTATTATTTCATCAGGAGTTGCCAAATTGCATGTTTTTTCAATTTTAGCATTTTTTTCTGAATTTGTTAGCGAAAATTACTCCGTAAGAGAAATTTTTCCTCATCAACTATTTGGTTACTTTGAAATACAATTTTTATTGGAAAGACAGGATAAATGTGTGATTCTTTGCCTTTATACATTTTCAGAAAGTAACAAGTTGAAATCTAGCAGCCTCCAATGATGAGGTTCCAAGGGTTTTTGCTTATTGTTTTTCCTTTTTAAAAATATGAAGAACTCATGGACTTTTTAATATAGCTGATGTTTTAATGAATCTCTGTTATTCCTTTTGATGCTCTTCAAATTTGCATCTATGTCCTTTTGACATACGTATGCCATTTGCTTTTTATAGATGCCTTGATTTCTGTCACAAGAAGATGCCCCAGTCCATAGGGCATATTTTTTGTCCCAGACCTGAATCAGCCATTTCTCTAGGGAGCTTTGGTTCCTTTTAGTGAGAAATGGTATTTAGAGATCACATTCTGGGCACTAGGAGTTCTTTGCTCTTGGGTTAACATTGTTTTTTCAAGTCTTTTCAGTGGATATAGCAAGGAAATGTGTATATTTTTGGAAAGATGAGTTCATACTGATATTTTCAATTAAAAACATTAGATTATAAGATTATCACTTCTTTGATTTTACACTTGAATCTCTTTTCTCTTATGCTTAAATGTTTATTCCTAATAGTAAAATTGGATCTGCAATTTTTAATACAATTTTATGTTCCTATTAGATTAATATTGTGCTGAAGTTAACACATTTACCTGCTCTGCCAAGTTATGCTCTTGATCTTAGTGACTTTCCGCTTGATTATACATCTCAGAGATTTTATATGCTACAAGGAATTGTGATTGCAATGACAACTGTAACTAAGTATACACAAGGTGCAAGATTCCTTTGTACAGATGAAGCATGCCCCCTTTCAAAAGGTAAACATTAAAATGGAAAATCAAAACATCAAACAATTTTTTGCTTAACCCAAAATCATATTTACAGTTAGTTAGAAAACATAAAGTAGAAAGAGTGGAATAAAATTTGCTATGTCCTAATGTTTATACTTTTGCTCTACTTAAGGTGACCAGATTTTAACATTGATAAAGCGAGACACCGTGACACCATTGGGGGAGGGGGGTGTTCTTAATTAAAAATTTGGTCTATGTGGAGAAACAAAAATTTTCATAGAACACAAAAATAGTATTGTAATATATATTTTTAAAATTTCAACATAAGTACAATTTACAAATATAATACATTAAAAAAAAATTATGTATAGGGCAGCACCTGTGGCTCAAAGGAGTAGGGTGACCTTGCCCAGGAGGGGAGTAGGGAGTTTACATTAGCCTTTTCATTTCCAAATGAAGTTACATTAACCTCTTCATTCCCAAATGGAGTTACATTAACCTTTTCAGCAGCAGAAAACTGTATATTCCCTTTCTGTTGTTCCCCCATTCCCTAGTTTGTCATGCATTCTTTCCAAAAATTGGGACTTTTTAAAAACTCTACAGGATGCAGGACAAATTGTTAAAAATCGGTCAGTCCCGCCAAAAGCGGGACTTCTGGTCACCTTAGCTTTACTAATCTTTTTTTTTTCTTGAGACAGAGTCTCAAGCTGTCGCCCTGGGTAGAGTGCCGTGGTGTCACAATTTACAGCAATCTCCAACTTTGGGGCTTAAGTGATTCTCTTGCCTCAGCTTCCCAAGTAGCTGGGACTACCGGCACCTGCCACAACACCCGGCTATTTGTTTTTTTTTTTTTGGTTGTAGTTGTCATTCTTTCACAGGCCTGGGCTGAATTCAAACCCGCCAGCTCCTGGTCTATGTGGCTGGTGCCCTAGCCGCGGAGCTATAGGTGCCAAGCCTGTTTTACTAATCTTTAAAAAGCATTTTTTCCCCTTTTCTCCCTTGTTCCCGACTTAACAAATGCACCCATGTTGCTTTTCCTTTTTTTTTTTTTTTTTTTTTTGAGAAGGAGTCTAACTCTGTCGCCCTGGCGTTGAGTACCTTGAAATCAGAGCTCACAGCAACCTCACATTCTTGCTCAAAAAATACTCTCAGCCTCCCCAGTAGCTAGAACTATAGGCACGCACCACAATGGCTTGTTTTTCTATTTTTAGTAGAGATGGGGTTTTGCTCTTGCTCACGCTGGTCTCAAACTTCAGAGCTCAAGCAATCCACCCACCTTGGCTTCCCAGAGTGCTAGATTACAGGGGTTCTTCCTTCTTTCTTTCTTTTCTTTTTTTTAATAGAGATTCTCATTCTGTCTTTTGGGCTAGAGTGCTATGGCATCAGCCTACTTCACAGCAACCTCAAATTCCTGGATTCAAGTAATCTGATCTTCCTACCTCAGTTTACTGAGTACCTGGGACTACTGGTGCCCACCACAATGCCTGGATCATTTTCCTATTTTTGATAACTGATGGTGTCTCACTCTTGCTCAGGCTGGTCTTGAACTTCTGAGCTTAAGGGATCCTCCGACTCTGTCTCCCAGAGTGCTATAGGATTTCAGGCATGGGCCACTTGCCAGGCCATGAATAAATCTAATTTTTAATGGATTGAAAATAGCTAAATCTGAAAACAAATTAAGCTTTTTATTGTTTTCTTTCAGGATTTCAGTATATAAGAGTACATGTGCCTGGTGCTACAGAATCTGCAACAGTAAGAAATGACTTTTTGTGTAATCTCTGTGCATCTTCACTTCAAGAAGACAGAAAATTTAGAGTACTTGGTGGTAAAATGCATTTACATTATATAATTACAATTTGTAAAATAGTGTCAATTTGTAAAATAGATATTTCAATGTGAAAATTAAATTGAATATATATTCTAATATGTCATTTTTTTTTCACTTTACCTTAAGATAAACAGATAGTTGAACTAATTACCACAAAGGCACTTCAGGCTTACCAAGGACATTCTAACAACCAGCCATTTAGATTCCAGTCTCTTACAGTTTTCCTAAGAGGTAAGTAGTTCTGTTTGAAGTCAAAATAAATTGCTGTAAATTATGTAATTGACTTGTTTATACTCATATATTATAAATGGTACTTCTATAGCTTAAGAACATCTTATTCTTGAGTTTTTTAAAAAATATTCATATTTAACTAACATATCAGTTATTCAATTAGTTATACAACACTCACTTAAAATGATATGCGTGTACTAGCACTGTCCATAGCACTGTGCTAAGTAAGTCCCAGGGTTATAGTAATTTTAAGGCAGTGATCTCTCATTATTCTGTGTGTGTCTTTAATAAATATTGGAATTATTGCTCAGTTCTCTGGAGCTAGAGAGAGAAGGTAGAAAATGGAGATCATTGTTTAATCTTCACAGAAAGAAAGAAGTTAATCCAGGCACCCTTGTGAATCTTTCTTTCACAGCTTTACTACCAGTCAACTTCTAAGTGTTGGGATCAGGATCAGAATTTTTGGAATGATGTTTTAAAATAAACTTGGAACTCATGAAAAGGCTTTCCCCTTCTGTAGATACAAGAAAGGAACCTAGTATAAGGCCAGAGGGTAGACTTTGTAGATAGACAGACCCTAGATGTGGATTTCAGTTTTGTCATTTACTAATAATTTAGCCTTCTGCAAGTCACTTAATGCTTTCTGTTTCTTCAAACATAAAGTTGAGGTAAGAATATCTACCTACCTTACAGTTTACAATTAGATAATGTATGTACAAGTACTCAGATGTTTTGTAGACAGACAATATATGTATAAGTACCTTATATGTATGAAGACAGTAAAATTTCCTTCCCAAATAAAATTACTCATAAGGTCACTTTTATTAACATTCTTTATTTAATACAAAGATGTTTCATCTTATGTAGAATGATTTTTTTTCTTTTGACTATATTATAGAAGAGTATCTAGTTGCTGTGTCATATGCTTCTTGAAGTTAATTCATCATTGCATATAAAAATCAAAATTTATCAGCAATAAAATTGTATCAACTTACATTAATAATGTCATTGTATATAGATATTATACTAAACAAACTTAAATGCTTTATTAGTAACTCAACTACTGAATTGTTACTAGTTCTGGATCTTTAAGCCATATGATCATGTACAAGTTTCATTTAATGAATATATATATTCTTCTGTGTTTAATAATTTTAGATGAATCAGTGAATAAAATGAACATAGGAAATGAATATAAAATTATTGGAATTCCTACATGTGTAAAAACTTCACAAACTTCTGTCTGTATAGAAGCAAATAATATAACGTTTTGTAATTCAAAAGGTAAGGAAAATATAGGTATCATATATTAAAAAATATTTAAATTTAAATCTGTTCAGCAAATAAATATTGTTTGCCTATGTGCATTCTTCTATGCACTAGGGATAAGTTATAAACAAGATAGTCAAGGTTCTTCCTCTTAAATTGTATAAAAGACAGATAATAAACTTGTAAACTAATCAATAAGATAATTTCAAATAATAAATTCTGTGAAGGAAATAAAACAAGACAATGTTGTGGAAACCTCCTAGTAGACAAGACTCCTTTTTTTGAGCTAAGTTTAATTTTGATTTTTTTAAATAGTAATTAGCAATGAGAAAAATACTTCAGGATGCCAAGAGTTAGAGGTTACTATACTATTCTTTATTTTCTAGTAAGGCAGTTTTGATCTGAAACAGTTTTGATCTGAAAAAGAGAACTATAAAATAATATAATTTTCCTCAAGTGAGTGCTGAACCAATCAAGAAATAAGACAAAAGCCAGTGACAGTGGCTCACATCTGTAGTCCCAGCTACCAGGAGGCTGAAGTGGGAGACCAGGAGTTTTAGACCAATCTGGACAACATAGAGAGCCCCTTGTCTCTAAAAAAAATATTTTTAAATAAGATAGCCCAAGTGCGCAGCTCATGCTTGTAATCCCAGTACTCTGGGAGGCTGATGTGAGAGGGTTGTTTGAGGATAGGAGTTTAAGACCAGTCTGAGCCAGAGTGAGCCCTCATCTCTACAAAAAATAGAAAAATTAATCAGAGGTGGTGGTGTGTGTCTGTCCCAGCTATTCAGGAGGCCGAGGCAGGAGGATTGCTCCAGCCCAGGAGTTAGAGGCTACATTGAACTATGATGACACCCCTGCACTCTAGCCTGGGAAACACAGTAGTTTGAAACTCTATCTCAAAAAAATAGATTAAATAAATTAAATAAGCCAACAAATAAATAAATAAGACAAAAGATAAAAGCAAAAGCCGATGAGGGCCAAAATATTACCTTTATTACTGATAATTTCTTTTAACAACTCCAGCATATTTTAGCATATTAAGTAAACAAAAGTGGAGAGCAGATTTATTCTTTTAACTTGGCTCACAAATATCTAAATGTAGAAAAGCCTGGTTAAATCTTGGGTAGAGCTAGAATTTTTGGAATCTATAGATAACCATCTGCAATAATAGAGACCGAACTTGAATTCAAATGTAAGTGGATTCTAGATATTTCTATTTATCTTGAAAAGAAAAGCAGTTCTTTTTTTTTTTT